CATAATTTCATTACAAAATTTTCAAGTGTCATGAGGACTTAGAGAAATTTCTCATGTTTGGTGGGTGCAGGTGGGGCTCAATGGGAACGGGAAGCAGAAGGAGAAAAGGGAGAGAAACATAGAGTAAGTGCTATCGTTATCTTTCATTCGTGAAACTTATGCTATACATAAGTGAAATCATCAACTCTGTTATGAGGAAACACAGGAACAACATGAAGACCGTGGAGCTGGAGACCGGTATCTCGACAGTGCTGGTTGTGTGGAATCATGGGAAAGGCCAGCCAAGTCACCAGCGAATGTAAGTAGTTACCGACTTTCTGTTTCACTATTTCTTACATACTTTGTCAGGTCGTGCACTGCCAACGATGGCACTCTCGATTTTTTGGAATGGCTCGCCACGGTCGATTCTAAAGTCAAGCAAGCTTTCAATGGAGCGCTGAGTCTCTATGGTGGGGCTCTTGGTCTGGAGGGCGTTGGTGAGTTCGAATTATCAGTTAATTTACCAAGGCTTATGTCTCTCTTCAATCAAAAGCCAAAGAGCCGACCAACTCTTCCGAGCTTGAAACGAAAGTTGACCCGATCCAGTTCAAGCCTAGTTGGGGACTGGGAGATCTCCGAAAGGCGGTGAGGGAGACCTTGAAGCAGCAGTTTCGTATGCAAATTTATCTGTTCCCTTCGAGCCCTTACCGACTCCTTACTAGGTGCCTCTGGAAAATCCATCGGCCCACCATGGGGTAATTTGGTCAGAAAAAAAGTGATTGCACTGCTTTACGAGAATACGGTATTTCCAGAGAAATGGTATCATGGAGATCCCGGTGGCGCAGATAAAGAACAGGCGATTGCGATGCTTGAGCATCTCCGTGCCGGCGATAATGGGCAGTTGCCCGAAGAATTGGTAGTCTGTTTCAAGCCTGGTCCCTGCCCCCGACTTCCACCAAAAACGAAAGATGAAGAGGTAGAAGAAACGATGGCTCAACCCGCTCAACCCGCTCAAACTCGCAAAAAGCCTGTATATGAGGAGCTCTCCGATAAGGAGGATGATGGAACTTCTGCAAAGAAAGTAAGCATTCACTACCATACAACCGGCTTCCTCCATGACTCACATTTCTCTCAGACTACGTCTGTAGCCTCTCCTCCGGGTGAACAGGCTGCTACGATGCCTGCCCCCGTGACCCTGCCGGTACCTGACAAGTCAGCGGCAGGATCAGACACTCCAGGCAAAAAATCTGTCGCATGGTCATCTACTGTGCCAGGTGGCGAGACTGGTGGCGAATCGTTTGAAAGTCGGACAAGGAAACCAGGTGCAGCATCGTCCCGCACAAGGCGCAATCACCCCGGAGATGCCGCGACTGACACAGGTATGGCAAAGGATCCGATTACCGAGCCTAATTCTTTGGATGACGAAAGTACCTCCGGCCGTAACTCTGCCAAGTCCACTTCAAAGAAAGCCGGCACGCAGCCTCAAGGCAATAGGAAACAAGGTCGGGGAGGTAAAGAGAGCCAAGAGGATAAACCCGCGGACACAGAAGGCGTATCGCCTGAAGACACGCGACGAAAGCTCCGATCTCAACAAGCTCAGGCTCTTCGGAAACCAGAAGGTGAATCGGCTCCTGGCAAGAAGGTTTCATCGCAGAAACGAAAGGCAGATGAACTGCTTCACGATGACAGCGCCGCACCAAAGGCTGATCGCATGCGAGGGGCAGCAAAGGGCATTCGTAATAAACGTCAGAAGACGAAGATCGATTGACGTATCCCCTTGATATGTCTCGCTCTTTTCTATCGTCGATTCCCTGTAATTCTCGTAATTTTTTATTCCATGCATTATCGCCTCAAATACATTGCTTAAGTGATCTGTTAATCAAACAACTTCGGGTATCATGAAACCATTCGCTAAATTTTGTTCAGGATGATGAGAATATAGGTGTATGACGCGAGAAAGAGAGTATGATATAGATGATCGTATTCGTTGAATGAGCACACATTATGAAGAGAAGGTAAGAACTGATTCATCGCCTAGGAAACGGTAGAGAGATAGGACGTTGAGGATCAGCCTTTGATCTGATATCCTTTGCATCCTTAGCCATTTCAATGTAATCTGCCCCAATCCGGCGGCAATAAGCTGCACGTCCCCCCGAAAAACGATCTGCTGCTTCATTCCACATCTTGGCATAATGCCTGAAGAAAGCCTCCGT